AAATAATATAAATAATTTAACGGAAGTGCAATATAAAACAAAAAGTAAAATTAATTTAAAATTAATTAAATTAAAATTAATTTTTAATATAAATTAAGTACAAGACGTGTAATGTAAAATATAAATTATAAATAAAGTAAATCAAATTTGGTCAGAAAAATAAAAAAAATATAAATAATTTAACGAAAATGCAATATAAAACAAAAAGTAAAATGATTTGAAAATCAGTTAAATAATAAAAGTATAAATTTTATAAAAACAAAAGTAAAGTTAATAAATGCAATTGTTTATTTACTTTGCAGGCAGCTGCTTGTTAATGAATTCGAAATTCTACGATGCTTTAATTAGTAATCTCGAGCTGAATAGCAACAATGGCCGCGGGAGCTGCCAGCTGAGAGGCAGCTCGTAAACAACGGCTAATATTTTTTAATTATGCAACACTGCGCACACAACAACAGCAGCAACAGCAGCAACAGCAACAAAATGGCTGCCAGCTGCACGAGGCCGTCGCCATTTTGTAAGCAGCTGAAATTAGCGAGCGAGCGCATAAAAGAAGCGAACGGAAACAAGCAAAGCGAGAAATAAAATGGAAATGTCGCCAAAAGCAGTTGCTGTTGCTGCTTATGGGTGTGGGTGTGGGCGTGAGCGTTGGCGTGGGCGTGGTCAAGCGGCAATTGCGAGTGGTCAATGAACTTGCCGCATTGCTGAAGTAACTGCGGCACAAAATTTACTTGCCACAGCCACAGTGGAGCAATGTTGAAGTGGAGCGAGTTGAGTATTTTTTAAATACCAGCCAAACGCATACCGAAAAGTCGTTTTATAAGGAAGCCAATAAAAATACTTTAAATATTTCTCATATGCTTTAATAGCTAAATTTGCTTGTGTAAAATTAGAGAAGCATGATTTTTAATAAATACTAAGTATACTAGCATATCATCATTTAGTATATTTATTAGTTTACTATTAAGCAGTGAATGTAAAGTTAACTATTATTATTATTATTTACTTATTACATATATTTTTTTATGGAATAATAATTACTAACGCGATATTCTATTGTATATATGTATTTTTTGAATATATATAAAATTAAGTTAGTGTTGATCAACTTGTAAAAAATTTAAATATATATTTTTTTATAATACATATATAAAATTAAGTTAGCGTTGATCAACTTGTAAAATATTTAAATAAATAATTTTTTTAATATATATAAAATTAAGTTAGCGTTGATCAACTAGTAAAATATTTAAATATATATTTTTTAATATATATAAAATTAAGTTAGCGTTGATAAACTTGTAAAATAATGAAAAATATTTTTTTTTTTAGTATATATAAAGTTAAGTTAGCGTTGATCAACCTGTAAAATATTTAAGTATTTTTTTAATATATATAAAATTAAGTTAGTGTTGATATTTAAATATTTTTCTGATAAAATTAAGTTAGTGTTGATTAACTTGTAAAATATTTAAATAATGTCGATTGCTTTATAAGTAAGCTCAGTCTATGAAACAAAATTTCTTAATCTCTTGAGAACTTATCAAAGTTAGTTTGCTTACAGCTCACTGTATGTGTGTGTGTGCGTGTGTGTGGATATGCAGTGGTATAGTAAATAATATATATGTATGTATGCTTACTCTCGTATATGCATAGATGGCAAATGGCTTCATCAGCTTCTGACTATGCAAATTTATGGTCTATATTTAGGCATTTTGCACACAGCGGCTGCATAAATTAATTATTTATGGCTTGTGAAACATGTTGCTTAACTTTGTCACAAACGTCCAGCCTCTGCCAGTGTCGGCTGCATAGTTGAAGCCAACACAACAGCAACAAAAACAAACATCATCAACAACATCATCATCATCATCATCAACGTTTGTTTGCGAATTTTGTGGCCTAGAGTCGTGTCGTTGGAAGGCAACGCCCACAGGGCTTATCTAATAGAATTGATCGCAAAATATGGTCTTGTTTTTCAGTTTTCTTTTGTATTCTCGCCTTCTCTCTCTCTCTCTCCTTCTCAGTGTCGTCTTGTCTCATTGTCATGCATGGCACGCACACATAATTATAATTTTTACAACGTCTAAATAAACGCAAATATCTTATGCACAAAGGCAACTCAGACATTGGGCCCGCTGCTAGGGCTGGAGCGGGTCTTGGGGCGGGCGCTCAATGGAGCTACTCAGCGCTGGCTGCGGCTATTTGTAATGAATGACAGTCCAAAGAAGGCATCCGAAACGTTTGCAAATTCTACAAAGTGTGTGCGTGTGTGGGAATGGGGTATCATGACATTGGTAGGGGAATCGAACAGGATGTATGCGTGGAGCAGTGTTGGAAAACGATTGATGGGTACTCTGAGAAAGGGAGAGTATAATACGAAGTTTACTTCGAGACATTTAAACAGTTAGAAGAGAACAAAAGCAAGTAAAGGCTGCAAACAGTGTTGGTAAATGATTTATGTATGCGAAATATGTTACATTACAATATTGACACTACATTTATATTAATTTTGATTTATGAAATAGCCTAAACGTATTATACATATATATATTATAGAGTTTTATATAGTATATAAAAGAGCATTGCTGGTGCTACCAGTGTCCAGCAAATAGGCCAGGGTATTCGAGTATTTGCATACACTTAGTATTGTAGTTCTGATTGCCGATTCTTTTATTTAGCAATTTGATATAGCATTACAATATAATTTATGCGCCTTATTGCGCTCGGCAGCGACATATTAATGACTCTCTCACGCTCTCCCCTGGCTGAGCGAGTGACGTCAGCTGCTCAGGCAATTGGACAGGCCGAAGGCTATAAATATGATTGACACGGCTGCTCAGTTTGTCAATCAAATTTTGGATATCAGACGTGCAACACTTGGCTGGATAGAATGCTGTTCAAGGTGCTGTTGGTGAGTACGATCAGCTCTCGCTCTCTCGCTCTCTCGCTCTCTCACTGACTCTGTCTCTCTCTCTCTTCCTTTGACAGCTCTCGTTGCTGCTCTCTTTGAGTAGCTGCACGGCCAAGCCCCATTTGCTGGCTGCCACGCCTGTGGGCTATGCAACCGTCGCTGCACCGGCAGCTGCTGTCCCAGTTGTCGCCGCCGCCGCCGCCCCCGCCGCCTACTATCCGGCCTATGCGGCGTATGCGTATACGCCCGTCTATTACGGCTCATACGCCGCGTATCCCGCCTACTATCCGTACTTGAGGCGCTGAGCCTGTTGCTTTGTTTTATATATGTACTAAATATACAGTATTGAGCGAGCAGAGGTGTAGCTACAGCGACAAAATTGATTAAACTACGTGTGTGTGTGTGTGTGCGTGTGTGTGTGAGTCTCACATTTTACGTTGATTCGTTTTGGCGGCTGCTGTAAATAAAATAAAAGCATTTATGAAATCAACACAGACACACACACACACACACAAACACACATGCACACACATACCTACACATATATACCTACACATATATAGAATAATAAGCAAATCAATAAAAAAGGCAGCCGTACGTACACGTGTTTCTTTGCAGATTTGTATCTGTATCTGTGTATATGTAACTGTATCTGTATCTGCATCGGTGTATATGTTAATGTATGTGTGGCAAGCGTGTAGCTTGTCTGTTAGCTGCCACAGCTGGCAGCATTGGCTGTGGGATTTTCATTTGGTCCTATGAAATTTGCTTACATGTGCGCATATTTTCACCTGCACGTCTTACCTTTGGCTGCCTCAGAATGTGTCTTTGACTCTACCTCCCTCTCTCTCTCTCTCTGTGTGTGTGCCTTGGTAACCCGCTACTGATTTACCTTACGTGTATAAATCTTTTATTCATGTAATCCATTTGAAAACACGTTTGCACATGATTGTGTTTATTTCGAAACGGCATCAGTCCCAGCAGATTGTGCCAGGTGTCTATGTGTGTGTGTGTGTGTGTGTGTGTAAGTGTCTGGCAGCCAGCTGTGTGCGTGTGTGTGTGTATTTGTCTGACTTGAAAAATCGTCAAAATTATATAAAGTGAATACAAATTTTATTTACTCAATTTTTATTGCTCTGCCAGTTGAGTTGAAAGCAAACAAACAAACAGAAGAAGAGAAAGAGAGAAAAACAGATAAAGCAAGAAAAACATTTGCTCGCATTTCTCATTATGCTGCAAGCTTTTTCCAAATAGTTTTTCACTCTGATTTCGGCCTTTTCCCATTTCCTGATTTTCCCTCATTTCGTTTGCAGCCAACTCACTGAATAATTGCAATTTTATGTTGCCTAAAAAAATATTCAAATATTACTATAAACAAGCTTCCATTTTACACACACACACACATGCAAATTGAACCGAGACAAAGTCAAGGCAGAACAAGAGCGCAGTCAGTCGCTGGCCATCAATCACGCCCCTCTCCTCCTGCTGCCCGCTGGGCACAATGCATTAGCGGATCCGGGAAACATGGCGTTATGAAGGCAGCAAAGTTTTCAGCTTGACGCTGTTTTATTGAATAAAAGGTCATTAAATTTGGACGCTATCTGTTGCCGTGAAGTTGTGAAAATGCTGCAGTCACCATCCTGGCTGCAGCTATCCAGCTATCCGCCTCCCTCTCCTATCTCCTGCCGTCTCCTGCTACGGCACGCCCTTGGCATTTCTTTTTTACAAGACTTTTCCGCTTACGCTGCACAAAACTTTACAACTACTTGGCATTTACTACCTGAGCACAGGATGAGCAGAGCTAAGAGCCTGACTGCGACAGCCGGGGGGGGGAGGGCGGAGGCAGCGGCAGCGGTAAAGATGGCAAAGTTATGATAAGCAGCAGCAGCTCCAGCGCTGTCGCCTTCATCAGTATCCAGCTGCGTTGCCCGGGGCACCTCTCAAGCTTTCAACGCTTTCAGGGACCGGGGGGGAAGGGGGAGGGGGGAGGACCCGCAGGGGGTTGGGGCAAAGTCAAGCAGAAAACTCGACTGCCGCTGGGGCAGGAAGCGCTGAAAGGAAGCATATTTCATAAAAAAGAAATCCCTTTTTAAATAGTAGAAACTGCGCCCAGCCCAGCGTTGCCCAGATCCTTAAATTCCGATAGCAGAGGAGATGTGACTTGCAGGAGCAGGAGCAGGAGCAGGAGCTGGAGCTGGAGCAGGAGTAGGAGCATGTTAGTCAACGACTCTCTGCCTGCTGCTGTTTGTATCAAAAGACTCGTTGCCATGCCAAAGCACACGGAGGCGTGAGTCGGAGAAGCAAACCCAAACCCTAACCCAAAGACCGAGCTCCATTTCGATCAAATAATTTACTGCATTGGTTTTTGGATGTTTGCGAAATTGTTTATTTACACTTGGGGATGTCAAGACCTGGTCACATTTCAGTCAACGTCTTACTTCTTCAGCAGCAGAGGAGCGGAGTAGGCGGCGGCAACGGGAGCGGTGTAGGCAGCGGCCAGAGGAGCGGAGTAAGCGGCGGCGACTGGAGCGGAGTAGGCAGCGGCAACGGGAGCGGTGTAGGCAGCGGCGGCAATGGGCGCAGTGTAGGCGGCAGCAACTGGGGCAGTGTAGGCAGCGGGGAAGGCGGCGCTATGGGCGATCTGGTGGGCGGTGTAGCTGGAGGCGTAGGGTGCCACGTAGGCGGCGCTGCCGACCACAGCCGGTGCGGTGTAGGCCAAGGGAGCGACAATGCCGGGCTTGGCAGAGGCCACAGCCACAACAGCGAAGAAGCAGACGGCGAACTGGAAAGAAGAAGACAATTAGAGCTCGAACTCGAACTGGAACTGGAGCAGGTGCAGCAGCAGGAGCAGGAGCAGGAGCAGGAGCAGGAGCAGGAGCAGGAGCTGGAGCTACTTACGAATTTCATGTTGATGGTTTTGGTTGTTTTTTTGGTTGGTTGTTAACTGTAAAAGTTGTGAACGTTGTTTGATATCGCTTTTGACCAACTGGGGAGCTTTTATAGCTGAGTCGCGCCTCTGGGCCGGGTGGCGCATCGAAGGGGCCCTCGACTGAAGGTTGCACTTACAAATGCAACGGGCATAGCTGACGGCGACTTGGCAGCTCAGCTTATTGGGCCAAATATTTGGCTGTTGTTGTTGTCGTCGTTGTTGTGGTGGTTGTTGTTATCGCATGTAAATCGCATTTGGGACGTGCGCGTCGGCCTTTTGGTAATTTGATTAGGTTTTTGCGACACAAAAGAATGAATAAAAGAAAAGCAATTGAAATGCGGCTTCCTCTCGGGCTCTACAAAAAGCCATAAACCAATTATAGAATACAACAACAACAAGAACAACAAAAAACTTTGGAAATATGCGGCACGAATCAGACATGAGTCAAGGGCAGGAGTTTGTCGTAGGGGGCGTGGCAGAACAAAGGAGTCATACTAGGGCAAAAAAGTTTTGAGTGCAAATCGAGCGTAAAAACATTTATTTTACTCAAGTAGAGCTCCAAATAATAATTTGAATGGTATATTTCGAGTAAGTGAAAGAGATATTACGAATGAGATTTTGGAATAGGAGTAGAACTGAAGAGATCTCCATATATATTATAATAATAACAGTAATACATGAAGCAAGAAATTGTTTTATTTGAAACTAATTTAAAAGTATATCTTAAGATATTACGAATTTTGCTCTGAAAAATATAAAAAATAATAACAGGTTTATACCTGTCTTAATATATATGTATGTATGTATATCATAAGACTATCACATCTATTTATACACATTTCAAATTTGATTCGGATTTTATGTTCTGTTTCTGCAGCCCTGGTTTTTATGGCCTTCACGCAGCTAAGCCATTGCTCAATCCTGTTATTGTTGTTGTTCCTGCTGCTGCTGCTGTTGTTGTTGTTGTTGTTGGCACTTTATCATGAATAATTTGTTGAAACCACTTAAAGGCAGCAGCCAGCGCCCGTCAAAAGTCGCACGCATTTCTAGACAAATTCAAAACAAAATTTATAATAGACCTCTCTCTGTGTGCGTGTGTGCGTGTGCGTGTGTGTGTGTCACTCACGTTTTACGGCACTTGAGCGACGACGCATTAACGCGCGCGCACAGCTGCTGCCACGCCCAGCCGCTAGACGCCTTTATTAGGGGCAATAAAGCGAGTACATAAGGCAGGGTTCAATAGGAGGGAGAAAGGGTGGAGCAGGAGAAGTTAACTGCAGAGCGTGTAGAGGAAGCGAAGTCCTTGTTGTGCTTTGTGCCGGGTGGTTTTCCGTTTTTTTCAGCTTTGTTGTTGTTGTTGTTGTTGCTTTGCTCCTTTTTTGTGCACATTTCTCTTTTAATTACTCGCTGCCACTTAGCCGGGCAGCCGGGATAGAAGAGGGAGTGAGAGCTGGTGAGCTGGGGCAACTCCTTTGATATGTTGCCAGCGCCGTTGGGTCACTTGAGAATTGTCGCGTCGCACTTGAAATCGGGTTTTGGGTTTTTGTGTGATCAAAGCTTTTAGACGGATTAACCAATATGCGCCATTTGCCTGACAATGAAAGCGTCGCCGCATTGTGCCGCATGCCACGCCCCCAAGTCAAGTGATGGGCGACAAATAGGAGGCAGTTGCTGCTGCAGCTTAATTTCAATTGCTGCTGCCTCATGATTGTGCATTTAGTGGGCGTCAGCCATGCCCACGACCACGCCCACCGCAAAATATTCTCTGTTGCATATGCACAGTCACAAGGCAAACACTTGAGCCAAGCCGCCAGCAATGGGAAGCCAAACAAATGCTTCAGCGACATCAGCAACATCATCATCAACAGCAGCAGCAGCAGCAGCAACAGAGGCGGCAGCAGCAGCAGCAGCAGCAGCAGCAGCAGCAGCAGCAGCAGCAGAAATATTTGCAGGACAACTTTGTTGGCATGTTACGGACACCCACTACAAACCAACCCTTGCAGCTGCCACAGCTACACCCTGCCCCTGCCACATGCCGCATGCCACGCAGCCTGCGCTCGATTCTTGCGAAATCGCGTAATTGGCATTTTTAAGCAAAATTCACGCTTCAACACTTTTTCGAGTGTGTGTGCAACTGAGTATGTGTGTGTGTGTGTGTGTTGTAAACACCTTGACAGCAACACACCTACACAAACACCCACACCCACACACACATACACCCTCTCGATACGTCTAATTAGTGAGTTTTTAAGCGCTGCATTTGCCTCAGCCCCCAGCGCAGTTTGTCAAGGGTTCGCATATCGCACATTTTTATTCTCCCCCTTTGGCAATTTATGACATTTGTTAATTAATTTTCCATTGAATTTCATTTGGCGTGAGCTGAGTTTATCCCTCCCTATACATAAATATGTATGTAGGTAAGCTCTTAGGTACTTGGACTGGATTGATAGGGTCTTTGGTGGGGCATTAGTTATGGTAATTGGTGCGTGCGCGTGCGGGGCACTCATTGTATGGTATATTATGTGCATATGGCGCATAAACAGTTAATCAAGCTGAGCGCAAAATTCATTGAAATTGCGTATACGTAATAATTGAAAATATGCGCCGGCAAATAGTTGAAAACATTGTATTGAAATATTGCATGAAATGGACAGCATATGGAAATAGCTGAGCTTTAATTAAATTGAACGAATATATTTACATACATATTTGAAAAGAAAAACGTAAATCAGCGAGAATTGCATTAAAAAATGCACTAAATTTGATGCTATTTCCTGTTTAAAATTAATGAATATACCAAATACTACTCAAAACGCATTAATTATGATATATGTATTTATTAAAAATGCACTGATTCATAAACTGCAAGCTTTCTGGCAACACTCGCAACTTACACGCCAGCATACCAAAAAATAAATACCAAATAATAAAGACACACAAAATGCCCTAATTCTTAAGAACAATCTGGCAGCACTCTGCACATTTACACAAGCCACACTTAACGCCTCTGAGCTATTTATTCATGAGCATCAAATTAAAATGCAATTCGTTTATTGTGATATCGTTAATCACACCATTTAGTAGCGACATTTGGTGTGCTACCGTTTCGAGAGCGAGTATTTCGGTATTACCCAGCTGGCAAGCCATTTGGCGGCAGCTGAAGGTCATGGCCGAGTCAAATGTAACGGACGCCAGGCACGCAGACACATTAAGTCCAAGCCAACCGACATTATTCGCTGGCCAAGAATTGCGCATGCGCAACATGGACAGCATTGTCTTCGTCAGTTGCCAGTCGTTGACTTGGCAACCGTTGCGCGTGCTCCGCATAACCAAGCAGCAGCTAGACGGGTAACTAGCCAGCGACACTCGAAAACCGATGAAAAGTGTAAGTGCTGACGCTTCGGCTTAGGCATTTGGCTATAAAAGCGCAGCGCTGTCTTCGAATTGGCATCACAAATCAACTGGTCATCCACTAGCTGACAACTATCCAAAACCCAAACAATCAACATGTTCAAATACGTAAGTAGCTCCTGCTTCTGCTCCTGCTGCTGCACCTGCTCCAGTTCCACCTCCAGTTCCAGCTTCGAGTTCCAGCTCTAATTGTCTTCTTCTTTCCAGTTCGCCGTCTGCTTCTTCGCTGTTGTGGCTGTGGCCTCTGCCAAGCCCGGCATTGTCGCTCCCTTGGCCTACACCGCACCGGCTGTGGTCGGCAGCGCCGCCTACGTGGCACCCTACGCCTCCAGCTACACCGCCCACCAGATCGCCCATAGCGCCGCCTTCCCCGCCGCCTACACTGCCCCAGTTGCTGCCGCCTACACCGCCCCTCTGGCCGCTGCCTACACCGCTCCCGTTGCCGCTGCCTACACTGCTCCAGTCGCTGCCGCCTACACCGCTCCCCTGGCCGCCGCCTACACTCGCTATGCTGCCGCTGCTCCTCTGGCCTACAGCGCACCTCTCGCTGCGCCCTATGTGGCACGCCCCCTAGCCGCCGCCGCCCCTCTGCTGCTGAAGAAGTAGAGTGTGTGCAGTTCAATATAAATATATATATCTGTGTATATATATGTATATTTGCATATCGCATACCTCAGCCAACCAACAGCTTGTGATTTTGTTTACGACATTAAAATAAAAGTTTAAGTTTCATTGAAATATTTTTGCCTGTTTATTTATTCTTTCGCTTCCATTTGTTGTGGCCTTGCTTAAAAATGCGCAACGTTCGCCTGCCCGAATAATTCAGCCGCTCCATTAGCCACGTTAATGGGCCGATCCACTAGGCAGCCTTCAAGACGTAGCCGAGCGAAGCTGCTCTGCATATTAATAGCGAGGGCTACCATTCGGTTGCCAAGTGGATCCATCCAAATATCTTATCAAGCCTATCTTGGGATACATCCGTCTTCTTGTCTAGATTAATGCAGAAGTAAATTACATATATTATGCGAAAGAATTCAAATCGATAAATTATAAGTGCTTTATAATTTACTATATAAATACTTTATTTATATTTGTGTTTATCTGTTTCATGGATTGTTTTCATTCCTAATTCAACTTCTTTAGCTTCTCTCGTTCTCTTTAGACATTTTATATTTTTTTTATCTACTTTATATATATACATAATTATTTACCTATATATACTCTGTTAGTATACATTTTCTCAGCTAGCTTTACCGTAATTACCGCAGAGACCACAAATTCCATAAAATATGAAGCAGCTCTTCCGCACGCCTACGGCCCACTCAGATGTATCTGGTTGCCAAACCTGAAAAGCTAAATTCCAGCCAGAAGCAGAATATCCTTGAGCAGGTAGTAAATTAATATTGACACCTGCTGTTGCTGTTGTTGTTGTTGTTGGTTCTCCTGTTGCAGCTTCTGCTGCTGTTGTCGCTAATGAGGCCTGAAACCTAAATACGTCAACAGCTCCGTAATCCGAAATGCGAATGATGATGATTTAATGGTCTATGGAGAAGTGTCTCTGGGCAGAGCCGAGCATAGAAATTAGATGTTTATTCAATTTGAGTCGAACGGAAAAGCAGTTCGATAAACTGATAACTGTTGACCAGGCCCAGAGTGGGTAGGCTTCTGGCCAAAACTTTTGGCAATTATCGTTTCGACTGAACTTTAGCAGCAGCAGCAGCAGCAGCAGTAGTAGCAGCAACAACAACTTCAACAAAACTTTTTGACTTTATTGTTGACTTTGTTAAATGTGGCTAAATGGGCGTAAATGACCAGCAACAACAACAACTGTAAATCACAAGGCAGCAACAGGCTGGCATATGTGACTGCGAGAGTGTGTGTGTGTGTGTGCTTGCTGGTGTGTGTAAAAGGGTTCAAAAGTTAAAGTGACCTTCTCTGTTGAGTTACCATGCATAAGCAAATTTTTACTGCTACTGGCAGCCCTGGCTGCTCTTATATACATATGTATATTTTTTTCTGCTGGGGTCTGGCAACCCTCCGCTTTCATTATAAAAACTGACAGCGCGTAAGAAAACTTCTTGCGGTTACTTTGAAGCAGGTAGCAAAAACGACGCATTGAAATGTAAACATAAGTAGAGAAACTTTGCTCACACAGACAACAGCTAACCACAACAACATCAGCAGCAGTGGCAACAACAAGAACAGCAACAACAGGTAAAGCATGCACCTCATTACAGCAAAAAGGACGTACGCTGTATTCCTCATCCGCATCCGTTGGAATTATGCGGCATTGTCTAAAAATGAGTTTTCGTTGCTTGTTGCTATTTTTACGTTTCATCGAACAAAAGCAAAGTACCTTGCAATGGCAGCAGCAGAACAACAGCAGCAAAGGCAGTAGAAGCAGCAGCAGCCGCAGCCGCAGCAACAACAATGGAGCTAAAAGCTGGCAAACATAAAGCATTAAGCTTAAGGAGAAGCGCAAAAGCGAAAAAGACGAAGAAGTAGCGACGGAGTAACAAGTAGAAAAAGACAAGCCACAAGCACTCAAAGTCACGACAGTAGAGAGTGAAGAGAGTGAAGCAAAGTAGTGGGAGTAGAACGAGAGTGGAACGCGTGAAGTGGGAGGAGGACAGCTTAACGAATCAGCGCATACCGAAAAGCGCTCAACTCATTCCCTTTTGCATGCAACGGTACTGCACAGAATAATACATTGTGTGCAGCGGTGCAGGCGACAAATAAAACGAAAACGTTTAGTTCATTGAAAGAGAACTCAATGGTTGTGAATATGTAAATTAATTCATTAATAGTTATTAAAGTAGGTTTAAGCTAATGAGTATATAATATAAATAATATAAAATCAACATATGTATGTATATTTCCATTCGTTAACATATTGATTTGTTAAGTTTTGCCGCCTTTGCTTTATAATACCCGTAAAGTAATGCAACTGCGTTTGTGTGTTTACAGGATAATGTTACAAGGGTTTGGGTGCTGTCATACACCTGCTGCCCACCTCCTCGGCTGACGCATTAAGTGAAGCACGCGGCATGTTGGCTCAAAATGAAGTGCTGACAACGCGTTGTTGCCGCTCTCGTTGCGGCTGCTGCTGCTGCTGCTGCTGCTGCTGCTGCTGTTGTTGCCGTTGTTTCTGGTGGCGCATCAGATGGTGCGAATGGCGGGCAAGTATTGCCCATGCCCGTTAGCTGCTAAGCGTCTTACGGTTTTAGCACCAGACCGCACACACACACACACACACACACACGCACAGACAGAGAGAGACGCGCAAAGACAAAAGAATCGCTGCGGTTGCCACTCGACTGGCTGCATGGGTGGCAGGCAGGAATACGCCGATGCTGCTCGGTCTTTCTGGCTGTTTAATTTACGCGCTGCTATTATTTTAATCTTTTGCGCTACAACAGCGTGAAATGACTTTCACCTGGCCTTTTGCTTTGGCTCTGGCTCTGGCTCTTGCTCTTGCTCAGCTCGGCCTGGGCATGGGTGGCTGAGCCTGACAGATGCGCGACTTGGCAGCGACTTCATCTTTGCAGCATTTAGCAGGAGGTGAGCCTTGCCTTGCCTTTGCCTCTTTGCCAGTTTTTGGATGCCTCGAGGCACACACACACACATACGCTCACACATATGGCGGCCACCCACACGTTTATGGCACTTCCTGGCTGGCACCTTGTACTTTTATTGTTTCATGTGGCTCGCCCATCCATCCGCTCTTGATCTGCCATTCAGGTGCGAAATAAACGAGCTCGCCTTCATATCGTACATCATCGCGTGCTTGGCGCTTTCATCGTTCCGGAAATCTCCAGCAATCAGCATCCGGAGCCGGAGCCATAGTTGGGGCTTGGGCTGGGACTGTGGCCGGGGCCAAAAAACACGGGCACGGAAGGCATGCAGTTTTATAGCTGGGGGCGGGAGATGTGCTCTACCTAATGCCTCAAATCATTTTCATTTCTTGCTGCCAGCTCTCAAGACATGCTCCTCCTGCTCATCTCTTGGTTTTACGGCTTGCCACTCGAAGCTCGCTTAAGCTGCTGCTCAGCTTTTGCCTCGCTTCGCTCGCTTTCTTTTCCTTTCCTTGCTTTTCTTTTCTTTTCTTTTCCTTTTATGTTGCTTTTTGCACTATGTAACATTACAATATTTTAAAAGATTTACTGACCCATACAGCTACAGCAGTACTCGCAGCGCGGCAAAGTGCAAAGCGCTGTAACATATTACGTATACGCAGCGTCTGGCACCTGGAAAAAGTTTGGGGATTTGTAACGGCAAGTTAAACATTTGTTTGGATTTAACAAACGTTATAGTTCCTTCGGACAGCCAAAGTATGCGTGTCAAATATTTAGATTACCTCAAAAGTTAACTTTAAGATTATAGTTCATATACAGTAATTCAGTTGGATAATGTTAAATTTGAGTTTGGACTGAATGCGATTCAGATTCCTTGTCCGTATATCTTTTCTCTTATGTATCTAGACATATATCTACGAATAATTCATTTCTCTATTTATTTCAACTGCGCTAATCAACTGTAAATATGCTCACTCGCCGTTGGCTTAGGATTTATGCGATTTACGCCAAAACTTGAGCGAGCCAAGGAGAAGAGAAACAGCTAGAGACAAAATCGTTTCGCCAGCTTAACCGGACAAACGGGGCGTTTGGGGCAGGGGCGTGGCAGCTGCTTAAGACCTAAAATAAATAGAATTTTTAAGTAAATTGAAGCAGGAAACTTATTTGCAGCGCTCAACTTAGTCGTCGCCCTGTTGTACACTAACTTGGCCAACATAATTCACACGCAAGCCGGAGCGAGAGAGGGATAGAGGGTAGAGCGTAGAGCGAGCGAGGCAGACATGTCCAAAGAGCCACAACTTGTGGCAAAAGCCACACAGTGGCTTGGCTGGCGCAAATGGTGCACATTACAAGGGCCCAAAGCTACTTACCCAGGCAGCCAGCGTGGCAGGGACTCACATATTTTATTATCAGCAGGAGCCGGGCAGGAGCAGGGGGCAGGCGTCTCTCTGTCTGTCTGTGCAACAAGGCGCAAAACTTAAGCGGCGAAGACAAATTTTTATTGCCACAAGCCCAAGTCGATTTCGATTATTGACTGCAAGCAAACTGTTGCACAGAGAGAGGAAGAGAGAGAGAGAGAGAGAGAGAGAGAGTGAGAGAGAGAGAGAGAGAGAGGGAGAAAAGTTCAATTTGAATGCAGCACTTCATGTGAATAGAAAATGTGAGAGTAAATTATAAATATAATTATAAATATGGGGTCTATATATTTCAAGTAAAGAAGAGAGATAGATACAGGATAAAAGCATTTAAAATTAATATTAATTTCAATAAAAATTAATAATATTAAATATAAATATTAAATATATTTTTAAATTATAAATTAAATTATAGACTTTATGAATACAAATATAAATAAATATTTAAAATAATAAATAATATATTGAAGTAGAGTAAAAGAGAACAGCAAATTAAATTAAAGCTCTAAAAACAATTTACTTTCAAAGCTATGCAAAGCTTTTTGCCTTTAAAGCTCTTTAAGCTAGTATAATGAGGATTTTCAAGCAGGCAAAGGCAAATCACACTGAAAAATAGTTGTAATAATTAAATCCAAATTTACTTTGCAAATTATTGCAAGTTTTTTATGCTGGCGACTTTTGCTCGCCTTGCTAAAGCTGATTTCAAACTAACTTTAAGCTTATTTGCTTTAAGGCTCAAACTTGTTGCGACATTTCCATAAGTTATTCATCTGCTTTAGAGTGGCAGCAGTTTGTTGGGCGACAAAATTGAAATGTGAAATTTAAACAAGTCCTTTGGCTGCTGTCATTGTTGACTCGCTCACATATTAAATGAATATTAAGCATTAAATGTGTGCACGGATTTCCGAAATTTAATTTAAATGTCAACCCCAAACGATGCACTCGAGAATTTAATTGTATTTATGGCCAAAGGCGCAATTCAGGTTGAGTGTGAGGGCACTCTCTGTCTCTCTCTCTCTCTCTCTCTCTCACTTTTGCCATCTCTCTTCATTCTCGTATAATTGAAATTTTATGTGCTTTTGCTGCATTTAATTTTGCAACCACAAATCTTATCAATAGGCCGCATAAAACCCAAGTACAAGGCTGAACTTTGACAACGAGAAGGAGACAGAGAGATAGAGAGAGAGAGAGAGGGGGAGACAGAGAGGTACTCTAACAGACTCATGTCCTCAGTTGATCTATGTGCTGCTCGTAAAGCCTGCAACTGTCAATAAAAATAACATGGAGCAGTCAACTTACTGATAATTTATGTACCTGAAATTCGTTTCGAGGCAAAGCTGAGATTTTTCCGACGTATAATGTATTATGTATCACGTATAATGCACACGCGACTCTCTTCAAGCACTTGAGCACAAGTTCAAGGACCAAGGAGCAAGGACAACAGCGAAACACATTACGAAACTTTTGTGGGCTCTAAATGCGACTAGAGCGGAGAGTCCTAGAGATAGATGTATAGGTGTATTTGCTACCTGATTTATGCATGCAGTTGGCTTATTGAAAGTCAGCCGAACGTTTAGGCGGCCATAAATATTTTTACGCTTTGTATGCGATAAACCTAAACACGGAACAGGGAATAGCTGATCAAAGGCTATGACAAGCCGGCGGTCTGCATAGTTCATTAGGCGTAGTTGGAGTTCCTTCTTTTCCTGAAAGAGATGAGTTTTAGATGAGAGACCTTGACATTTCTCTATGGAGCATTGAGTATTGAAAGGTTTCTTGCTGTCAATTAGTTGATAAACTATGAAACACTGAAGTTTTTGATTCATTCCATAATAAATCAGCTTTAGGCTTTGCGCAGTTTGAGCTTATCTAAAAGAAAGTTTCTCTAGGCGTAACTTGGCTTGTTTTCTAGCCCGTCTCTTGTCATTTTTCTATAAAATATTCATAATATTTCAAGAGCTCAGAAGCTGCTATAAGCGAGCTTAAGATGGAGTAAGAGTTTGAACCTTTAGTGTGTAGGTACATAGTTAAGTTTCTTTCAAGAAAAATATATTATGAAATATCTTTGAAAATATGTGCCAAAAGTTTCCTAACATGGAAATATTATATTCAATATATTGTATATCAATATTTGATATTTTATATACATATCTTAATTATACTCGATTTTCCATCTCTTACCGGGTATCTGCAAGTCGACTACTTTCTACAGTTAGCCTGCTGCTGTTGAGCACTTGGCTACTTTATGTTGGCTTCGTCTTTTTATTTTGGTCGACAGATACATATACATAGGTAGGGGTGTATCTCCCGCTGTGCTCTGCGGGCTTCAGGTTAGTTTGCCGGCTTTGGCAGGCTGACAGCTCCTGCCTACACTGTCATATAGCACTCATAAATATGTGTGAGTCGTGGGTGGCACATACATACATCATAAATGTAGACGATGCCTAAAAAACAAGTTCTCAAATTGCACATGGCAAAAGTTTTTTATGATGCATTTAAAACTTCTTGATTATGCGGAGGCGCAGCTAGCTATCTATTGCTATGTCAGTGTGTGTGTGTGTGTGTTTGTGTGTGTGTGCAAAACCTACTTCAAATATACGAGCTTGTAACTTATTTCATTTCCCCGTGAGCAAAGTTAATTTAAAGTTGCCCCGCGAGCATCTCATTTCAGGCGGAAGCGGAAAAATATATGCGAGCATAAATACATGAAAAGCGCCTATGGCACAATTAGCTGGCGCATGCAGGAATAGTATATGCCATGGCAGATACTATGCAAGTATCATCATATTTCAAAACTCTAGTTGCGTCTTTAAAGTTTTCTAGATGACTAACGGGCAGATATCCTGTAATTAGTAGTAAATATTTATGAATATTTATTTATATTGTAGGTTTAGTCTATGAAATGAAAATACAAAACGCGTTCACAGGTGCCTGACTGTGACATATACCCTGTAATTAGATCTTATGTTACAACAACTTCAAGAACTATACATTTTTGTTTAGAAAATAAAGATATTTCTGTATTTTAAGTTTATGAAATGCTGCTCAAAAGTGTTTCATTGCTCACATACCCTGTAATGTGACTAAGACAAAGAAATAGATGGATAGAATGGCCCTAACTGCCTTTGTGCTTATATAATGTAAGGCAGCGAAGAGCACTCGACTTACAAATTATCTTTTTCGACATTAAAGTCCAAGGTAATTAAAAATAATTAGAATCTTGGGAATATTCCGCCTCTCATTGCATGTACATATCTCTTTAAGCTGCCTTAAATTCTTGTTAATCTGGCATTTTTGTCAGTTGGCTGCCACGCCCCCACACACACACACACAACACGCCCTGTACTGCACTGCCTGCAGCTGCAGTTGCAGTGTAGCTGCAGTTGCTGCACTGCTGCCACTGCCGCATCCGGCTGTGCATCGCCTCTGCAACTGTATCTGAATCTGTCTTCTAATTGGCCTTTTTATGCACACGAGCACACACTCGACATCATTTCTATTTCCAGGGCCATTTCCGTGCCAAAGCAGTTTATCACTAACTATGCACATTCAGGCTCTTTCGCTCGCTCGCTCTCCGCACCCTCATCTCCTTCGCCATGGCACAGGCCCAATTCAATATTACGTATACGTCGCGTGCGCCGCTTTAACAGCTGCCGCTGCTGCTGCTGTTGTTGTTGTTACTGTTGTTGCTGTAGGCTTGACAAAACGTGTGCCACTCACGCAAAGTGCAGGTCCAGCCTAAAGCCTACATTCAGAAGAGTCGCATCCTCATCCACATCCACATCCAACTCCAGCTACAGCTGGCAGGCAGATTCGCTGCTGCCGCTAATGGGAACAGCTGCAGCTGCAGCTTTGCGACGCGCTTTACTTGTCGGCTTTAAGTGTCAGCGTTGAGTATCGTTCAGCTACAGCTCTCTCACTCACTTCCCCATCCATCTTTATCTCTCTCTCTCTCGCTCTCTCTCTCTATATATATATTGCTGCCGTGAATGTCATTTGATTAGTTCAGCTGCAGACTTTGGTTCGGCTAACAGTTGCCTTTGAGGCAGTCTTGTTGGCCTTCACAGGCGGCTGGCTTAATTGGCATCTCAAATTGGCTTGAAACTCAGTTATGCGAGCGTTAAATATCATTTTGATTGGTTTCCATGCCGTATCACACTTTCACTGATCTGGCAGCAACTGCATTTATTCACAATAGAATAACAGCGCTGCAAGGCGTAACCAGATCAGAGTTGAACAGTTGCAGTTCACCCTCCTCATACGCCTCATTGAGCAATTCTCTTTTTCAGCGATCTGGCCAGCTGTCAGCTCTTGCAGTCACAATGAGTGCCTAGCAATTGAATGTTTGTCATACATATAACATTCTTGTATTATAACACTTAACGAGCAATCTTAGTTTACAGCGATCTGGCCAGCTGTCAACGCCTGCAGTCACAATTGCACATTAGAGTCATGCATTCATTCACAATGAAACATTTAATTTTAAATCTTTTTCGACTAAATGATACGACAATTTTACTGTAATATGCAACTGTGCGCTTTTGTGCACAGCTTAGTCATTAAATATGCATTCGCTTAGAAAGTTAAGAACTGGAAAATGCCAAATCATGTTGCTTTGACTATAAGAGTTTGCTCGCAAAGCAACTTATTTTCCCATTCCTCGCGCGCGGGTAGTACTTAATATTAGAAATTCTTAAGGCTGCCCAAGCACAATTGAACACAATAAGGCGACAGCCTCATTAAATGCTGGTGTCGACAGTGCTGAGGCCTTAGCCTCTTTTAGGCTAGATATAGCCTATTTGAAAATGAGTGAAAAATGAGAGAGTATGCAATTATATACATATGTATGTATGTATGTACATATCTGTTGGTATCTGTCTCTATCTCTCTCTCTCTCTCTATTTCTCTCTCTCTCGCTCTCTCTCTCTCTATATATCCCGCTCTCTCGCTCTCTCTGTCTCTCTCTCTCTCTCTGTCTCTCTCTCTCTCTCTCTCTCTCTCTCTCTCTCTCT